ACTTGAAGTGGAGGAAGCCCGGATGAGGCTTCTTAGCTCTTGCACATGAGCCTGACCCAGTGTTGCAGCTGCACTGTATGTGAGCTGGCCTTGAGCACAGGGCACTCAGAAGTAAGGGTGGCAGGTTGCAGAGCCTGTTGGTGTTGTAAACTATTACAGACTTGCCCTGTTCTTGAGCTATTTCCTAGACAGGAGGCAGGATATTGGGTTAGGCAGATACACAGTCTAATGTGGTACAGCCATTGTAGTGGTAACATGTTAAACCTTTCTGGATTGAGAGTAATCTTAATTTGGACATAGAAGAACAGGACTCCAAAAATCAACTGAACGAACTGCCTCAGGTTGAGCAGGTTAGGAGTTTAATACTTGTGTAAAATAGTATTTCCTTATTAGTTGTCAGCATAAACATATAACCAAGTATTTGAACAAGCAGGTAGCTGTGATCAGAAACATAAAGCTGGTCTCTTTAACATCTTGTAGAATAGATCTGTTTCCCGGGAGACTGGTTGTTTATTATGTCAGTGAAAAGATCTGATAGTATAATCTCTGTTCTCTAGGAAGGAATGTGCTGGAGTCTCATGACTCATAACTTATCAACAAGCAGAAGGGTAAATGTTGATTGTAACATGTCTGAGTACAGTGAAACATGAGCAAAGAGGAAGGAGATCTGTGTTTGCCTTTCACCTTCTCAAGTGTCTCCTGCAGAAGGACAGGAGAGCAGCTTCACTGGAGTCATACCAGTTTGCGCTCATCTGCCCACACTGGGAACCAACAGCAGGGACACCATGGCAGGTCTGGCTTTTACAGTCCTCTACCTGATGAAGAGCTAGTTTGAGTGTGCAGACTCAGGCCACCCTGCAGTACAGGTGTGGCTCCCAGCCAAGTCAGTAGAGTTGCTATTCTGAGGGGAAAAAAAAAGACTTTCCAGTTGTAAACAGATTAGACTTCACCTGAAACCAAGGAAACACACAAGTATAGCCAGAAGCAGACCAGAGGTTGTACTTCAGACCTGCTTAACCAGGGGCAGTCTGTTCAGTTGAATTTTGAAGTCCTGTTCTTTCATGTCCAAGTTACCAATGTGAGGCACTTTGGATGAATCAAAGCTACTAGCAGGCATGCTTGACACTAACTTCCTTGTGCTCTAGAGAAAAATACAGACTAGATCCCTGGAGTTTAGCATGAAAGACGGGAAATCTGCACAAATAAACAGGACATAAGTTTAATATAGCATGAATGTACTTGGTTGAGGTTGCCAAGTACCCTGTAAGACAAGGATATGGCAAAGCTCAGTAACTGGATTTTGATAGACTCTATTACAACAGCTTGCTTTTCTAGCCCTGTTGTGCCTCTGCTTTTATCTAATTTAAGTTCATTTCTCAGCATGGTTAACCCTGATTATGGTCATTCTGATATCTATAAAACTGGTTTTTAGCAAGCTTTGTTTCCAAGACTCTTCAAAAAATCTAAATGCTAGGGTTTGCTATTAACTAGTGGGAGACCAAAGGCAATCCACACGTCCAAACTGCTACTAATTCTTTATATCATCTCCCTTGAAATACTGCAAAAACAATGTCTAAGTATACACACTTTTTCTAGTTATCTGAATAACCTGGTGAGTGCTGAGATTTGTATTTTCTATTCATGCACTGCAGCCATCCTAACCCACAGCATTGGTTTTGCAGAGAATGAGGTATCCTGTGGGCTCTAATTTAAACAGCTAATAGTATAGAGAGCTTAAGTAATATATTTTAATGTATAAGTATTAGTGTGTGTGTGTGTATATGATGCCATTTTCAAAAAGCATATGGATCACTTGACTGTGTAGCTTATCACAGATGGATAAAATAGTCCTGGTGAGAAGAGACCCCAGGAGGTCTCTCATCCAACCTCCTGCTCAAAGCAGGGTCAGCTAAGGTCAGACCAGATTGTTCAGGGCTTTGTCCAGTTAGGTCCTGAAAACCTTCAAGAATGGGAACTGCACAGCTGCTCTGGGGAACTTGTTCCCCTGCCTGAAAAGGGTTTGCTGTACCTGCAGTTGGAATTTCTCTTGTTATTATAACTAAATCCATACTGTAGTTCCGCTCTTTAGTTGGGAGTAATGTCAGATGCAGAACACAATGCTGAGAACCTATGTGGGACGTAGGTGAAGTCCTACTGACAGAGACAGAGGCTGATGTCTGTAAAATCTGTGCTCCAGTAGGGATACAGAGACCCTACTCATGTGGTACTTAATTGCACATGAAGCTCAATGTCTGTAACTCAGCCAGAGCAGAGGCTGTTACAGAAGCAGTGCTGTGACACCAAAAGCACCCCAAAGTAAAAGATGTGTTTGTAAAAGTTGTACTGAATGGGTCTTCCATACCCTGTTTTCATAACAAGTTTTACACATCATCTTCCCCTGCAATCTAGGCATGATCCATGTCTGCGTCTGCTGCTGCTCATATCTTTGTAGAGCAGCAAAACCGGCATGAAATTGATGTGATCTTCTTTCATTGCTGCCCAAAAGGTTCTGAATAGCAGCCCTGGAACAGAGCAGGCTTGTTGACTTCATTCTGCAGCTGCATGACAAATCTGCCTCTAAGCCTGCAGCTTCAAGAAGACAGCACAGCATCTGTTCACATAAAAAATAGCTTTTGGCTTGTCTTTTTTGAAATAATGAGAAATTTAAACTACTGGGTTTAAATGTAAACTTAGAAACAGGTGACTTGGGCTTTCCTCATTTGCTAAGAAAAGCATCCCACTTATCCTTGACAAAGGACTGGATGGATTATCTTCAGTTTCAATTAAATATTTTTGCTTCACATGTGCAGAAATTAACATCTAATTTCCAAGAAGCTTTAATCCTGGTATAGTAATTATATTCTATTATGTGAATCTGTTTAGTTAAGGTATGAATATAAAATCGCAGTGATTTTTATGGACTGGTTCTTTCTAGATGCATCTCTTTCTATATGTATTTGCTTGTCACCATGACAACTCCCTATCAGTTTGTCTGACACTGCACACTTCAGAGAAGTTACAGTTAACCCAGGGCCTAAATGCAGAGTACCAGGGAGTAACATCTGAGAATCTGATTTCCACGGGTATTGTGGTTTGAGCTCAGAGGGCAACAAAGCACCACAGAGCTGCTCACTCCTCCCTTGCTTCCCAGCAATGAGAAGAGATAAATAAGCCAGGCGTGGGATTCGAGATAGGACCAGGAAGGGGAAATCACCCATTATGGTCACAGGCAAAAAGCAGAGTCATTAGGGGAAGAAAAAAAGAACATACTTTTATTACAGACATTTAACAACAACACGTAACAGAGTAGGACAGTGAGAACACCTTCCCCCCACCCCTCCCTTCTTCCTGGGCTCAGTTCTGCTCCCGATATCTCTACCTCCTCCCCCACTGGTGCAGGGACAGGGATGGGGGGGTGCAGTCAGCGCTTCCGCTTCTTCCATCTTCGGTTAGGGGGGAGCTTCTGGAACTTCTCCCCCTGCTCCATCATGGTCCCCCTCTCACAGGAGACAGTCCTCCACAAACTTCCTCCAACATGAGTTCCTCCCACAGGCCACAGCATTTCCCTACGCTGCTCTGGCGTGGGACACCAACTTTCTCCAACTGGATTCCCTCCCACGGCTGCAGCCCTTCCCGAGCTGCTCTGGCATGGGACTCCCCCGCATGCTGCAATCCTCCCAGCACTGAACTACAACAGCAGGGGCTGCTTTTTCCCATAAGACCCTGGCCTTCTTCAGGCACAGACACCTTGATCATCCAGGCGAAACACAGGCCATAAATCAATGTCTGCTCCACCGTAGATCTTCACAGGTGGCAGGGGGGGCCTGCCTTGCCGTCTCACCACAGGATACAGGGGGTCTCTGCTCCAGCACACCTCCCCCCTCCTTTCTTCCCCCGTTTCTCCATTGACCTTGGTGTTCATGCAGCTGCCGCAACTCTTCCTCACAAGTCTCACTCCTCCTCACCATGTCCCTTCTTAAATATGTTATCTCAGAGGTGCAGCTGATTGGCTCAGTTTTGGTGCAGAGGTGAAGCTGACTTGGAGCTGGGGGAGCTTCAAGAAGCTTCTGTTGTGGTTTGAGCCTACTCAGCAGCTAAATGCCACACAGCCGCTCACCCCACACACACACACACACTTGGGAATGGGGAGGGAATCAGAGGGACAAAGGGAGACTTGCAGGTTGAGATAAAAACAGTTTAATAACAGTAACAGAATAATACACTGACAGCAGTATCAACGGGTAATGTACAACACAGCTGCTCACCTCCCACCTGCTCCCGGTCAAACCATCCGGAACACAAAGGCCCCACAGCCACTCCCAGAAGTGACAGCCTCTCCCAGCCCACTCCTGCCTTTATATAGTGAGCACAAGGTCACGTGACATGGACTATCAGCCAATCCTGGCCCAGCCCTCCAGCTGTGCTCCCCCCGCCCCCGCACACAGGTGAGGGCACTGGGACCTGGGGAGCCCCTGGGGTCTCAGGGTGCTGCAGCACTGCTCCAGCTAATAAAACAAACAGGAACTCTATTCCAGCCTGAACCAGGACAGCTTCTCACAGGGGGCCACCCCTATAGCTCCCTCCCCTCCTACCAAAAAACCCCACCACTCTCTCAAACCCAGGACAATGGGCTCATGCATAGTTCTGCTCTGTTGGTCTGATGCATCCATGCATGCAAGTTTAAGAACAAAGAACTACATTCTTTCACCGGATCTTCAAACTGCAATCTACTGCAATTTGTCCGATATCTTTTTGTTCTAATTATGTATACAGGTTTGTAAAGTCAATATTATGGACATGTTTGTAAAACCAATGTTTAACTATCACTTAACAGATTTATAGCCTGACTTACAAAAATGTCTCTACATTTCCTTTAGAAATTATTGCCTTTATAGTCTAGCTTAAAAGTTTTGTATTATTGAATACTGGAATTGGCACTTAATTGGTACATATTCTAACCCAGAAATAACCTGCCTTACACCTGTCTATATGTTTTTCAGTAACCTAGAAAAATATTCCTGCCTGTGCAAATCTAGCTGATCTGGTCTGTCAGGAGCAGTTTTGCAACTTAAACTTTGGTACTGAAAAGATCTGTGCATTCTTTGATCTGAGATGCCTGGGCTGATGTGAGCTGTGCTGATCTGTGTTGCTGCATGATGGTAAGTGTTCATTGCCATTCTTCCTCACTGCTCCATACAGTGTTTTTGTTGTCTTGGGAGAGTTTGCACTGGAGAGTGGTGGACTTCACCAAAATAGGCTTTTGGACAGGAAGCTTCAGTTCCTCGAAGGGAGGATTTTCAAGATGAAAAGTTGAAAAATTTAGCTGGGGCATGTGACTTGGCTCAGCCATATCTGAAAGTGCCTCAGTGTTGAAGGTGAAACTAAGACAAGTCTCAGCCTGCCCAAAGTAGTAAGGGCAAAATTTCCTAAGGAAATATGAATGGCTAGACCTCTATCAGGATTGTTTATTGCCAATTTTTTGGCAAGACTGGTTTAACAACCTTGCATATGTTATTTCCCTTTCAACCTCAGAAGAAAACACTCAATCACAAATTGTAGTAAATAGAAATATTCATGCCCATACACTGAACTAGTTTACACAGTGGAGCCTAATGGTAGATGGAGAGATTACTCTGCTGCACAGAGCAGTAGTATTGGTTTTGCTTATTGCATTGATTCTGCATGTTCCAGCTGGCAGCTGCTGTGCCTCTGAATGTACATCATGCTATTGCATCCTTTTGCTCTGTGTAAAGCCTTGCATGATGTTTGGCTTTTTGAAGAGTTGTAGTGTGTAACTTGAAAGGTGCACAGGAATATTCTCTCCACCACTCACTCAACCCAGGACATTTCTAAACAAAATGTCTCAAGTATCTGAAAAGGAAATTGGTTACCCTTGACTGCATTATCTGATCAGAAAGGCATGTAGAAATGTGACAACTATTAAGTATTTCCACCATTAGAAGAGCTGCTTGTTCCAGTTTTTGCTAAAAGGCCACTGGAAATACTTTCTTTGAATCACAGTCCTGGAGACGGGCTGTTCCTTCTGTTTTGCCATTGAAATAAAGCCTTCTAGGAGGAGCTCTCTAAACCTCATCATTATAAAATCTCACAGTAAGAGGGTAAGAAAGTTGAGTTTTTATATTGCCCAACAGAAAAAGAAGGCACAAAACACTTAAAACGGGGTGGGGGGGCATGGAACCTCTCAGCTGTCTCTCATGGAGTTTATTGGTATTTATTCTTTTACAAGTGCTGGTTGCAGTTACATTCAGTAATACCTGTATGACTAAGAATAATACAGTTGTGACAAACTAGTTCAGCACTACAAACAGCAGGGATTTGTCAGAAGCCAAACCATGATCTTGGCTTGTGCTACTGATGAGATTTTAATTTTGGGAATCCATGCTAAAATGCATGCAATTCAAAGCAAATGAAGATGTATTAAATTAGTTACTTTTACTTTTTGACTATAGTTATATTAATGAAATGACTCAGGAAATCGTTGGAGACATGTTCCAGTGTACTCTAGTAAGCAAAAAATCCACTGGAATATTTTAATGTACTGCTGACAATAGCAAAATGTATGACTTGACAGTATCTTCAGAGTGATAAAAATAAAGTTTCAAGTAGTTAACAATCAGATGGAGTCAAAATACTATTTTGAAAAATAAACACAAACCGTTTCCTTAATTATAACACTGAATCGTAACGTGGTTCTTAGCCTGTGCTGCCAAAAAAAAAAAAAAATCATTAGTGATCCTAAGGGCAGGTGCATAAATTAATGCTTCTACATTTCCAAAAAATATTTGATAACTTCTTTATTTACCAGTAGGTGTCACTGGAGTCCAACAGAGAGCTATTATTATTTTAAAACGTCTTTCCTGCTTAATCGAACCTTTATTTCATAGAGAAACATTTGTATTTGTACATGTTGATGTACATCCAATAAAAATGAAGAACTTCAATCAATGCTCTTTCAGATATGTTTTTTCCTGTCTCAGCTACTGATAACTGTTGGTGGATAATTCAATGGATTGGGAAAGAATTCAGAGTTATTTTTTTTTTTCTCTGCAGCATGCCTGAATCTGGTTCAAGCTGATAATGACCAAAGTGATTACTGGATGCGAAGGTGAAGTGAGTTAGCAGTGCATGTATGATTACTCAGCCCTTGCTCAACCTTCCATTGGTGGGGGTGGGAGGGAAATGGCAAATCAAACCAAAAGACCTAAGTCTTCAAATTTTTTGGCAGCTCTGCTGAAAATTACAGAGAGTCTGGGGACTGAATGGGGCAGGAAGGATCTGTCAGCCACAAAGCAGCTCTCTGTAAGACTGAGAAAGAATTTAGGGAGGAAAACTAGTAGAAGCTCTACTTTTGGTGTCTGTAGGTACCTACCTCTAGAAATAAGCAGTACAGTCTTAATTATGTCAGATATGTTTTTTCCTCTAGTCTTAAATGTAAATTACTTCCAAAGAATACAAATAATCTATATAATCATGTGTCACGAGTTTTATGCACTCATACTTTATTATATGGATGTTTCTCTGAAGATCTGGATCTTGCTTCCTATACCTTGTGTTAGAAGACACAGCGCTGTGCTGAACAAGACTGCTTAGGATTGAGGTCAAGTAAAGCATGGAACGATTTTTTCTATCTTAATGAACTGTAGTTCTTGTCTGCTATGTGTTTGCTAGACAGATCATCAACAAAGATATTTTGATTGAAATACACTTTCAGGTATGTTCAGGTATTTGCTATTTGAAAGGCACAAAAAAGCACCAAGGAGACACCTGTGGTTACTACATAATGTTCAAGCCACTGGATATCATACATCAAAAGATAAAAGGGAAGTTAGGTTTTGGTTTTGCCCAGGTATGGTGAAAGGCTTATTCTTTAGGAAATCCTCCAGGGAGACATTTAGAGTTAGTTGAAGCAGACTTAGTTTGAGCCTAAGCTCTTGCATCAATACATTCCTCCAACCTCTTCCAAATGTTTAGCAAGAAATGATTGTGCTACGACAGTAAACATTTATCTCAAATTCAAGATCACACGTCCAGTAGAAAGCTATAGCATAAAGAGGCTGCTGCAGGCCACTGTATTAGGATAATAAGGTGCTTTTGGACTGTAAATGCACTGACTGTCCTGTAAATGCCTGTACATGTGGCTAGATCCAGTATGAGTCATTTGTTTGATATGTCTAAAGAAGCAGTCAATACAGAGGTTGTTTTTAGCCTTTTATCATCCTTGAACACGTTTCTGAAGTACTCTGCCACCACTTGTTAAAGGGCTCTCTTGCGTGCTGTAGGTAGATCTCTGACCATTTCACAGAATGTAGTTACACTGTACATGGTGAACCTTGGTAAATGCCGACAGGGTTGCAGAACTGGCAAAATACATGGCCCTGGATGTACCAGGTCTTGTGCAACAAGCTTTCTTCATAGTGCTGCACTGTAATTTGAATAAAGGTGAAAGTAATTTGTTCAGGGCTGCATTCTGGCAGGAAACTAATGAAGTCACTAACTGATACTTTGTTGCCTCCTACCTTCCCATGAGGAATTTTATTTTAATTTTCATTTTATCAGCTTAATTTGTTAGATATTACATTAATTCTGCCACTAAGTTCAAGGACATGTCTATCCAGTCCTCCTTAGTCCCACAAATTTTAATTCTCTGTGGATTTTCTTTTCCGGTTGTAGTTTATGTTGCTGTCCTTTGTATCATTGCACACAACCCTCGAAGGCCATGCATGCTGGTCCCAGTGCAGCAGCTTAGTTCTTTGACCTGATATTGCTATGGTTTAATGTTTGGTAACTGCTGTAGAAGTGCTTAGTTACTGTCCACGTTCTACTCTTTCTAAAGAGTAGAAACAAGTACTTGGGAAATACAAAGGTGAAAACAAAAATCTTGTAAATAAAGACTCAAAAGAGAATTGAGTGATTATAGCATCTGCAGATTAGAGCCACATACAAACCTAATAAACAAAACTAAGAGGACAAAGAAATGTAATGTGTGTTAGTCATGTCCATGACCTTTTTAACTGGCGAAGGAAGCAGATTAGCAAAATAAGCGACAGAAATGGCTGCTGCTCTATTGCTGGAGGAGGAATAGAATAGGACAATGATAGTCCCACCAATGAAGTCTTTATAAGAATAATTTAAAAAAACAATTGCTTGCTGCATTCCCATGTTGTTCTTCCCCCAACAAGCACTGTGTTGGTGCATTTTGGTAGCTTTCCTTAAGGGCTGCTGCCATTAAGACAGACATAAATTCAATAATAATGTGAACAAACAAGTTCTTAAAAGAATAGTTAAAAAAACAAAACAAAACAAAACAAAACAACCAACAACATCAAAAAACACTTCAGGGAGAGGATATGGTTGGTATTGAATTGGGTCCTCGTATAAGGCTGCAACAGATCTTGGGCATTTGAGTCAGCCTCCTTTTATTCCATAACAAAACAATGGAAACTTTACTTGACCAAAGAACCTAGACTTTCCTCGCTGCTTTTAAAGTTAGAGTGCATCCTCACTGCAAATGAAGTATTCTTCCTGAAACACCCTGGCACATTGTAAAATCTTCATGAGAAACAGCGCGGATGGTTACTTTCCCAGCAGAGCTTGCTGAGATAAACTGCATGGCAGAATAAAGTTCTGACCTTGACAATTATAACACGTGAAAGCTACTTTGTACTTTTCCCACTAGTATTTCACTACAGGTTTTTCCAGCAGACTTGCAGGTTGATCACCTAGGGAAAAAAACCACACAGGACAACCACTGAGAATTTAGCCGTAGGTGAATGACTACTGTTGGTTCATCGAGTAAAACTAGTCTTTCCAGAGGCTTTTACATGGCAGAGACAATGCTGCCTCTCACATGATTGCAACAGATGGGTGTGCAAGCCAGGGAGAAGGTGGAGTAGTGCAACTTCTGCTAGCTAGCTTGGCTTGATTCATCAGTGCTGCGATCCAGGGAACTCTTTTTTTTTTTTTATCACAGAAAGCTGGCTCTTTGCTGCACTCTTATAAGGGATCCTTTGTTCTGTTCAGTGGTTACCATACTTACTGCATCGGTTTGACCACCTCATATGCAGAGACAGCTGCAACATGATGCAAATACTGAAAAATATCCACAACTGCCTAAAGATCCCCTATTTGAATGCCCTGCAGTCTTTCTTTTCAAGGTTCCGTGTCAGAAATAAGCAGTACACTAGCCATCGGAAACAACTCACTAAGAAAAGCCATATTCTTGACAGAAATCACACTTCCCTGTACACTGGCTTGCACATCTCCCCTCCCTTCCCACCCTGTGTGTTTTGCTTTCTGCTCTGCTCTGATCCAGCTGCTGCAGCTCTCAGTGCAACCCAGCACTTCTCGCCCACTCCCATCCTGCCTCTGGTGATGTTGCTGAACTTCCTCCAGCACGCATTAGTAGCGATACTAATGTATAAATGACTATTTTCAGAGCTGTTTCAGGGAAGTTGACTAAAGCATGGTAATTAGTTACTTAATGTGTCTCTTTACCCCCCCCCCCTTCCTCTTTGCTATGCAAATATCAAGGGGGAAATTCTAGCCCCAGTGAAGCGAAATAGCAAAGCCCTGTGTGCTTTCACCCATGTGTGCTGCATGACACTTGAAGGACAGGAACAGGAGGAGACCGACATTTTGCAAAGGAAAAGCAAAACACACTGAAATGTTTAGCATTTTAAGTGCTGCTAATTGGGACATGAAAGCACTACAGCAGCTGTGAGTGCAGCAAGAGCAGCAGGACATCCTCTTCTCCCCCATCCCTTCTCACCTGGACAAGAGGCAAGGAAGGAAGTACTGTAGGAAGTTGAAGAGAACTTGAGAGGCAAATAGGGGCTAGGCTGAGACACAGAAGAATGGGGAAGAGACAAAGGAGAAGGTGCTGGGGGGACATGGACTTTCAGGGTTCTGAAAGGCATGGTCTGCGCATGAGGAGTAATGGGGAGAGCTTTCCTGTGAGTTGCTGTCGCTGCCTGGGCATCGCATCGTAGGGAAGCAGGGCAATGGGTTGTTGAGCTTATTCTCTTTTTGTGGGAAAAGGAGTGGAGCAAGGATGCGTTATGATGTTAGTTCATGTGCGTGATATGAAGGATACTGTGTGCTGTGCTCCTTTTAAGGTCTGTTTGTAGCCTCACCTTAAGCTGATAATACTGTCAAAGGCTAGTTTTTGTCCATAGAGCAGCACTGAGAAACCTTCTGGACAGCTTTTGTAAGGATATGACTGTCTTCATCTCCCCCAGAGTATATGCTGCATGGAAAACCTTCCATTTTCCTACTGCGTTGCCTCTGTTTTCTTTTGGAAGAAATTGAAGCAGTTTAAAACGTTTTAATGGCTGCCTCACAACTGAATTATGTGAAAGGCTCCATACTAGGCTACAGCTCATTTTGAAAAGTCTGTGTTGTTCCCCCCACAGAGATCTTAGCGCAGAACCTCAAAAAGAGAACTGGGAGTGCTCTGGAGTGCATTAAGATGTGATATATCCAAATAACTGTTCTGTCCTTCTGATATGTTCCTTCTACCGTTATACTTTTATCTCTCTTATCTCCAGCTTTGATGTATTTGAGCTGTGTTTTTCAGTGCTTTCTGACTTTATTATAAATAGCAAAGATGCTAGTTTCTCTTGTGGGGGAGGTGGGGTAATCAAATGTAATAGGAAGCTGTAGGACTTGCTTTGACTTTCCCAGGAAAGTTTTTAAGCTGAAAAAGATAAAGTTGTGAGATGGCTGCTTACCTCCCACTGCTCGTCTCAAGGAGGCAAATGCCAAACTAGAGTGTTCCATGTGCTACTTATTTTGTGAAGGGTTTTGTGTGGTTGCGTTTTGGTTTGGTTTGTTGTTTTTTTTTTTTTTTTTTTTTTTTTTTTTTGTGAAGAGAGATGGCAACTATCATGAATAGAATTCTACAAAAAGTGTAAGATGCCTGTTGAATTCCACCCTCTTTGAGGATTAACTTTACCTACTGCCAAACGTAGACGGGATTTGGCTTTTATTTGCTCCACCTTGGTACTTGCATATTTGAGGTAAACCAGATGAAAATGGAAATAGCAAAGCGTAACATGCTAATTGCCAAGCTTAGTAAGTTACAAGGTGTGTAATTTTTGAAGACATGTGAAGTAAGTTAGGTGCAGAAAACCTGGCCCATCTCTGCTGTTCTTGAACATAACAATGTGTGTTTTCCATCATCGAAGAGATTTTTATTAGACTTACAAGCTTCTGCTGATACTCGGGATAGGATAGGAAGTATGTAAGTTAGTTTAATTTATCCTCTGATAGTCATTCCATCATGACCATGAATCTGCAGTGTTTTAGATTACTCTGCATGGGGATTCTACAAAGACTGAAAATACTGTTAGAAATATGAAGCTAGTCCACGGGGCATAGGGTGTGTGAGAACTTCCAAATTACATCCAATTACTATCCCTTCACTGCAAAAGTCTCTGAATTACTGTTTAAGTGACTTCTGTAGCCCAGGTTTTAAGTTAGAAACTTATTTAAACTCTTAACTTTGAATAGAAAATATTTACAAATAGTTTCTTGGTGTCATTCCCTTAC